CTGTATCTGAAGAGGCATGTTGCTGTAATTGTATAAATAGGTGTAGCCTAAGTTTTTGATTTCAGTTAGACAAAATAACTCCTTAATTGGTTAAAGCTCACTTTTCAAGTGAAAGATGCATTTTCTTCTTTATGCGAAATAAGCAGCTTTATCCTGGATCCTGTACTACAGCCCTGTTTTAATGCTGGCATTGAAATCCTCCCTCATGAGGAGATTTTAGAATTTACAGCAAAGAAAACCAACTTTTCCTAATTACACAAAGGGCATGAAAATGTGAACTAAATTTGAACCTTTACACTTTAATTTGGTGTGTTTGTTTTCAGGGTTGATTCTGATAGTTTTTTTTAATTAGACAAAGTGTTTTTGTTACCTTGATGTTGGAATGGCCTTCATATCTGTTTAGGACTTGAAAAAGGACAGATCCACTGTTTCATAGTGGGATGTACTTCCTTGATGTTTAAGATTATTGTGGTATTCCTAAGCAATAGGTTGATTCTTACAGTACTCTGTTCACTAGCTTATAATGTTCAGAATCTGTGTGAGATTTCATTTCGAAAGCTGTAGATTACTTAGTTTACAGAGATTGCAAAGCTTCTGGATTATTTGAGTGTGAATATAGTTAGTTGAAGGTGGCTTTCAAAGGATTTGACTTTTTGCTGTGTTTACCATATTACATTAGTGACTGCTACAAAAATCAGTTTATTGCCTGTGAAGTGATTTGAGGCTTCTGGTGGTCTCAAGCACAGTGTTAAATACATCTCTAAATGATTGCAAGTGATGGTGTCTGTCTGAAATGCATATTTATGTTAAATGTTTTTATAAGGAATTAATAAATGTGGAGCTGGAAATGTTAATTTGCAGCAAATGGCTAACAATTATCGTGTATGTTGCTTTGTTGTGGAACAAATATTGCATCAGTTGTCTTGAATAACAGAATTGATCTAAAATGAGTCTACCTTTTGAAGCTATTTGGCAGGTCCATGTTCTTTTTCAGATCAAGTAGTATTTGCAGCATAATTTTGCTTGAGCTTGGAATTTATAAACTTTGATCACTTTGGTTTTGTTTTAGAATCATGTATCAAGCAGTACGAGATGATTTAATGAACTAAAGTTTTGTGGCATTTGAAGAGTTTAATTCTACTTAATATGCTGGTGATAAAGTTGCAAGATTCTGCTTTCTTTGAACAATGGTGTTTTACAATCTCTGCTGTTTTGAGAAAATGAACAAGTTGTAATGGTATTCTTCCTGATCATGTTTCAGATAAGTGTATTTAAGAACTAAAACTGTTTAGTATAGAAGATCTCCTGGATTATAATATGTTGAACTTGGTCGTAATTCTGCAAAGGTTTGATTAATGTTCAAACTGTTGAATTTTTAACAAGGACTTTTGTAAATATTTTTGAATTTGTATTCCCTAAAGAAGTTGCCTTTAACTGAAACTGATTTAAAATTGTGTAAAACTTATTTAAGTCTGCGGTTACAAGTGTTATTTTTGAGTTGCTTATGTTAAGATTTCTAGTTTTGTCTCTACAATTTGTGTTGCTAATGTATGTGCTGTATTCAGAATGTTGAATGATCAGTTTCTTCTGGTTAGGAAATCTTGTTTCACAACAAATAACGATGCTGTTAGAATTTGATTATGTGGTTTAGAACTTTTCAAAGTGATGGTTATTTCCTCTCATGTCATTCTGGGAAAAGCGTTCCTATTCTGTTGATTTCTCATTTTGTGGTTTGCGTTGAACTTGTGTTGTGTAGAAAGTTATTTTGAAACAGAATGTTGGTGATCTACAAAGCTTAAATATGCTAAGGTTTGTATTTTTCTTAATCCTCCTAAGTATAAGTGTGCACCTTGTTGTGAACTGAACTAATTGCCAGTGCCGTTGTTCACTGCATTCACAACTGGCACTGCAGTTCAACTGAGTAAAGGCTATGGATGATTCCTCAACTTGCGTGTTTCCAGTTTTGGTTGTGGCAGAGAGATGGTAAATACCGGTGAATTGGTGTTAGGATTAATTTGTTTTGCTGCCATAATGGTTTGTTTGACGTTAGCAGGTACTGTGCTGCGACACTTGCTTTTCCTGTTTCTTAGATAATGATTCTCTTATCCACCCTAAGCAAAGGAGACCTGATGGACCACATTGATTTTGCTGCTGATTGCTATGTACATGTATTGGCATTTGTTGGGTGACACTATTTTTACCTGGCATATTTTAATTTTCACCTTATTTCCTTAACCCTTAGTCTTGTGTTTAAATTGATGGGAGAGTCAGTCTCTTCTCTGAACAGTTGGTGTAAATCTCCCAATGTGAAGTGGAGTTGCATTTCTGTTGATTGTTTATTAACCACCCTGTGCCAGAAATGAAGCACTGGCATCAGCCATGACTTGAAGAGTAGCACTTTTGTCTGAGTCAAGATTATTAATTGTTTGTGGGATCTTGCTGTGTGAATTGGCAGTCCTGTTTCCTGTTTTTGCAGCAGTGATTGATTATATTTGTAATTTTTTTTTAAAAATTAGCTCTAATACACATTGGGATGTCCTGTATAATTGCATGTTGGTTTTCACAGCCTTCACACAAAGCAATATTCGGTATGCCTGTTGGCTCAGCTTTGCTAAAGCTAGAGATAATCTAGAATGGTGCAGTGAAATGAGAACCGAAAGGTCTGTGGATGTTGTAAATCAGACAAACATAGAAATTACTGGAAAAGCTCAACAGGTCTGGCAGCATCTGTGCTTTGAGTATTGCCTTTATTACATCTGTTTTTAGTGCTGGTGGATATCTTAAAAAGCTGGTTAAATGGCCAGATCTGCACTTGAGCAAGCAGCAGTTATTTCATTTAATTGTGCAATTAATGTAAATAGTCATATTTGAAGTGCAACAGCTACAAATTTGGAACAAATGCATGTGATGCGCTATGACTGGCCTGCCAGTGGTTGGTTAGTCTGGCTGCCCTGACTGAAGTAGTGGGTGTTTGCAGAAGGAGGAATATCTTGTGTAGCTAGACTTGGTTCACAAGGAAATGTGGTGTCATTCTGGTTAGCACAATGGTGCTAAAATACTACAGGGTAAATTGCATTAATATGACTGATTTTGATAAACAGTGGACTTGATCTGTCCTTGTAATGTGTACATTTCCTTAAACACTTTGCACCTCAGGTAACTGTCTGGATACAGCCATGTTTGGAAAGCCAAATCTGTAGTAGACTCCCAAGGTGCTTCACACAATTTAGGAGGGTGCATAAATAATTTTTTTTTGTTGTTGATTTTCTTTAACATTGCCAAAATTCTTGGTCTTGTGGTAGTAATCTGAGGAAACCTGGCAGCAACTACGGTCTCCAGAAAAATAAATGCAGTGGATTTTTTTTTCAGAAGTTTAATTGGTCTTGAATTTTTTGTCTCTTAGAGCTCAAATTATTTGGGTGCAATTGGTGTTTGAGAGTTAAGTATTTTTTTGTACAGTCGAGAGCAAGTGGGTAAAATGACCAGTGAGAGGAATTATTGGTATTGGAACACCTGAGCCATGATAGAAACTACAGGCAGATGGCCAGTGTGTGTGGATTGAGTTGAATGTTGATGTTTGTACTATATAAATTATCAGTTAAGATCACTTTAATCCTTGACAAAAAAGTCACTAAACTTGTGCTATATTTAACTTTGAATGTTTACAAGTTCTGTATTGCATATAAAACAAAATTTGTCTTGAACCCTTCTCTTTTGTTTCACATTCTTAGCATCAATTAAGAGCTGATTGGCTTGTGACAATGAGCTGAGTTAGTGTTGCATCCGTCATCTACTACATTTGACTGGTAGTACGTTGATCCAAGTAGTTAATTGTGATAGAACAGTTCCTAGTTTGTACTGTAAAGCCACTCCTGTTGTACAGCCTGTTTGATGTCTGGTGTTGTCTCTCTCCACCTGCATTTTCAGTCTAAGGGTTAATTTCTGAAATAATGAGTAGCAGTGTCAAGTATTGTAGACGTGGCAAATTCTGGTATTCTTTGAACTGACTAGATTCTGACTAGATTGGGATTGGTTTTATCTCCAGATTAATCTGAACATTTTATGAAATCTGTAGTATGTTAGATTTGATTTTCAATATGAAGACACCTAAACTATAACTTTTAACATATTTACGCCTTTAAAGTTAGCAATTTTAGTAGGGTAGCATAATTCCAAACTCAAATAGGATTTGCTGAGAAACCAGGTTATTTATATTAACTATACATTACTGCACTGTTGTACATTAGATAATTTTGTAATTGGGTTAATGTGTATTGTACTATCCTGAGTAACAGCTGACATGCTGGGAAGTTTTACAGATAGACTTTACTGTTCAGTGTCATTTGTAATCTGCTTATGTTGAGTTTCTCCATATGTACTTTCCAGTTTATTTTTAAAATTGTTTTAGTTTGCCAATAGGTGAAGAATCCTTTGTTCCTGTAATAATCTATCTATCCTCACTAACACTTCTTGGAAGACGTTGGGGAAGTATAACTGGAAAAGCACATTTTTAACACACAAATAAAATATCTTTGTAAAATCTTTACATCCTGTAATCTTGTGTACTTGTAAATACATCCGCCAGCGACTTTTTACCATCTTCTATTTCCTATTTTTTTTAAAAATCGGGAAGAGTTGACGATTTTGAGAGTATAGTATGATGAAACAAACTTCGCTCACACCCCTTACAAGATTATTAACTGCTTAACCCTACTGCAGTTTTCTGAGAAGCGACTTTAACTACAAAAGTTTGGTATCCCATGTTTAAATTAAGTGACAAAGGAATGGAACAAAATCATTGTTTCAAGAGATTGTGATGCTTTCCCTTTAAAACATCAGTTACTTAATAGCTTGTTGATTACGTAGTATGCTATTTTTTTCAGTAATTAATGATTATTTATAACAGAAAATGTCACCTAAATATTCCTTTACCAGCAAAGATTGGACTTTTGGGTTGTTCACAGTATTCCTGTTTTGTAACTTTTTTTCTTCATTTGTAGAACTTATTTTGGTTGCAAAAACCATAGCCATGGGAAATGCAAGGTTACTGGAATACGGTCGGGGATTGGGTCTGGTGGGTTAGTGTGGACTCAATGGGCAGAATGGCCTGCTTCAATACTGTAGGGATTCTGTGGGGAAAAAATATCAATTTGGGTCTACAGATTAAAATCCAGGCTTCCTTTGTAAGTTTCTGAGATTCCATTGCTTTGTAAGAATTTAATTGATGTTGGGCATTGTTACCCTTGCAGTGTGGCACAATTGATGTTAAATTGACAGGTTCCCTTCTGCCTCAAGGATGGCTGCTAAAGGAAATAGAATTGTCATGCCACTGCTCTTAGTCGGGGTGCAAGTTATTTTATTTACAAGATAGAAGCTTTATTCAGAATTTGGCTGTGTCACATCTGATTTGGAACTCCTCCAAGGAAAAATATACCTTTTTAAAAGGAATTTAGGTGATCTCTGTTTTAATCACAGAAAGATGTGCATGGAAGGAAGTCAGTCAGTTTATCATTTACCAGTTTCTGCTGCATTTTGGGACTATTGTCTCCAATACTGTTCTCTCACAGTTTAAGAATGCTGCCCCTCCCCCACGCCCTTAGGTTTTGGGCTTTCAACTATTACTGACTAGCTTCAAAGACACTTTATTAAAGCATTCGTATTCTAATAGTACTGAGCATGAAAAGCATTTTTCTAATTACCTTTAAATTAAGACCAGTATTTCCAATTTTATTTAAAACTTTTTTTTAAACAGGGAGTTATGATAGTAAAACAAACTAGGCAGGATTTGGTGATGTTAAGTAAATAGTTTTGTGTGATTAAAATAGAAGGGAGGTATTCAAAAATCTTCATACGTATAATATTTCTGTAGTTTTGGATTACATTGAAGTTATGGGCATATGAAAGCAAAGTACTACTGATACTGCAAATCTGAAACAAACTCCAAAAAGTTGGAGAAACTCAGCAGGTCTGGCAGCATCTGTGGAGAGGGAAACAGAGTTTATATTTTAAATTCAGTACAAACAAGTCATTGAGGCTGTGTAGGAGCCTAGACCAAAGGAATTTTTGAATCTCTCACTTGGGCTTGTTAACTGCACCACATGCTTCCACAGGCAGAAAGTCTTGTGTGCCGCCTTTGAATGATCTTTAAGAGCATGTTACTGTGTCTTTGCACAGACTTTTAGTTAACATTAGTCAGGGTCTATGAGTGTAGGGGCAAAGGTAGTATGGAATGTAAGATCTTTCATCTGATCCTTGTTATCTTAACTGGGTCACACATCTTAAATGACTTGCCATCCACTTCATAATTAAGTTTGACATTCTCAATCCTGTTTCAAATAATGACTGTCCATTCTGTTTCTTTATATTTTAAAAAAAAAACCTAAAGGTGCTTTGAAAAGAACATATTGCATCTGCCCATATAATCAGACTATATTTTGCAAAAATTTAAATTTCCAACTGAGTACATTACTCTTGATAGTATGGATTCTCACTGAAACACACTTGTTTTTCATAATTTATATTCTTCACTGCAAATCCCTAAACATGTTTCAGGTCAAGAACAACACTAGCTACTGGTAACAGACATGTTTTTAAAAGCGCTCTGGTGAGTCCAGACTCTGGATTCAAATGATGACTAATTCACGATTCACAGCTACAACTTTTGCTTTAATGAGATTGTTGTCTTTTGTTATCACTCCTGTGCCTAAACCTTTGTCAAAGTTGTCACAGCGAACTGTTCATTCCCTATGGTGGCCTTTTGCATTTGGGATAATTTTTATACTTTGCTAAACATTTTGAGTAAGTAACTTCTTATGGAATAGCTAATAGGAAAAGTTCAAAAGATTCAGTGAAATAAGCATAGAGCAGGAATTCTCCAGTCAACTTTAATGCTTGAGTTCTAAACTACTTACATCATTAAGCTAAACTTTTGCCTTTTACCATGACAAAATATTTTTCATGAGCAGCGTTGTTCTAAAATAATGACAAGCCTAATGATGTACATGAACGTTTGCATTGTAAATCAAATGATTGTTAATGGCATACACCTTCCTCCTGCCCTGGCCAGAAATTTTGGAGTCTGATTGTAATGCGCAATTTTTTAATTTTTGGGGTATAAATTTGTACGTGAAGATTTGTAGTTTAAAAAATCTCTTAGCTAACTTGTTAAACGCCAGAGTATTTGTGGAAGTTTCTCTTGGTATCGTAACAAATTGCCAAAAGATTGCTTGTGTTGGATACTGGTCAATGATGTTTCTAAACAGATAATAGTCATACATTGTAGAAAGCTGGAATTTTTTTTGGTAGAACACATCTGAGACCTTCCCTCATTTCCAGTTGACATGGACAACGTCACAAGTCTTCTAATTTAAAGTCTTCATAAATGTAATGTAGTTACAAAACCATCATTAAATCCAAAGTTATTTGTGGTCTGCCAAATTCAAATGCCAAACCTCTGCTTCAAATTGGAAGACCTTTAGGAAGTGTATATTGTTCCAAATTCTGGTACCTCAGTGTGAAATAGCTGAATCATACAGACCATTGAAGTCCCAGAATTAATCCCTGATCTTCAGAGAATTAGCTAATCTTAGTCAGCGCAACAGAAGGGTGCCATTCCTTGGGACAGTAAGCAGCAGTTCTTGTAATAACTAGAACTTGGCTGCTGTCCATCAATCTGTGTTGGAAGTTGTGCGCATTAGGCCATGGTGGATTTGTGTTTGGCAGTGTCTGCAAGGTTTGCTAACTTTCTGACATCTTTGGTCTAGAATTGTGCTAGTCCGGCTACTTGAGTAAGGGAATAAAAGAGTCCCAGGCATCCATGGAATTGTACTGCATCGAAGATTGAACTCAGGAAAATGTTTTTCACAAGCTTTCATGACAAGAATCTAGGGAAATTTTTTTTGCTCTGTAGCCTCCCATATTCCTGTGCTTTTCTTCCCCTCAGTTGGCTCTGGAGACGTGATTATTGTCTTGAATTCATAGTATCACTTTATATTTAGCTAGGGGAGATTTGATGGTTAATGCTGCCTAACGTGGAAAGTTGAGGAATTCTGAAATGTTCAGTTTGTACTGATTCCGGAAGATGCGGTCTTACATCGTGACATTCATGTACACGACAACAGGCTGATTGCATTGCGTATTGCAGACATTGATTTGTCATCCCGTTTATTCTTTCTGCAGTCTGTAAAGTTGGTTTAAATTGGTTGACAACAGGATTGGCTGGTGTCCTCAGCTGCTTAAGGGAAACGCCACTGTTTTGGTCACAGGTAAGATTCTCTTCTGTTCAGGTTGTTTTAGATATAAAATTTTAAGATTTATGTAGGCTCCTTGTTAGTTGCTTTCAAATTTTGAGCTGAAGCATTGTAATTCTCAATTTTAATTGGTGTTTAGTAAAAGGACGTTCACTTTTAGGTTTGATAGATTAATTTGGTTTAAATATAGTATGTCAGACTCCAATTCATTGGCTATTTTGTCTGAAATTTTTTTAAAATTCAGACATTTGACTCTTCAGCTGTAAATTCTGTTTGAAGTACTCTTGATTCACTTTGAATTTTAATCTCTGATCTGCAACATTGTTATTCAGAAGTGTTAGGTTTATGGAACCATGCGTGATCATATCTTCAAAAATTGCAGAATTAGTTGTTACCATGGAATGAGCACAGAAACAAACCCGGAAGAGTTGTGTATTAATTAAACTTAATACAAGAGTTTGCTTACTATAGTAGTCAGAAGACTGGCAAATTCTGGTATCTTTTACAAGCTGAGATTGATTTGAAATCAAAGTTGTAGTTTACTTGTTTTTGCATTCAGATTCAATGTTGCAATTGCAATGGATCTGTTAAGAAGGTTTGACTTTCAAAGAAACATCTTCCAAAATATGTCAAATTTGATTCATGTGCTGAAAACACTGGCTAGATCTCATCACCTCTCCACTCTGATTTATCCTTCTGCTCATTCAAAAATCAGTATTGGACAAACACAGCTTTGACCCACTTAATAGTACTGATCTTCTGAACATTTATCTGAGACAGCAGCATGGGAGTGCCTTTCAAAGACTGAACCAAGCCAATTGTCTCTTCATCTGACCGCCAGTTTCCACAACCTGCATCAGATCATCAGCTGAAACCCCCATCCTGTGCCGTTATTACCTCTAAACGTGACTATTGCTCCAGGACGTTCTCCCCACCTGTAAATCTTGGCTTATCCAAACTCTGCCCAAGTCATGTTTACCCATGACTCCTGTGCTTGCTGACTTATATTGAATATTGGTCTGGTAATGCCTTAATTTTAAAAATTCTCGATCTTGTCAAATTGCTTTGTGACTGGCTACTTCCACAGTGATTCCTCTAATTCAGACCTCTTACTTTCCCATGTTTGGAAGCTGACCCTTGTAGTCTGTAGTCTGCAAGACCCTTCCTGATCAAAGCTGCTTTAATTTCTCACTCAAAATCTAGTAATTGACCAATGAAGTTTTTGGTTATCTGTCCTAATGTTTCTTATGTGGCTCAGTATTGTATTTTGTTTGGTAAAGCTTCTGTGAAACATATTGGTCTGTTTGTATTTATTACAAAATAATATTTGTAGTGGTAAAGGAAAGTATATTACTGTTGCGGTTTCTTAATTGCTGGGCAGTTAGGTTTATGCAAGTTGGACTTAATTATACAATTTTGATTTAAAACCCTGTTTTAAAATTGGTCCAATATCTGCGAAAAAGTTGGTTTTCCTCTGATGGCTTATATTGTATGCTTAAGTACATTTTACATTTCTGGTTAGGCTGGTTTTGTTCTAACAAGTCTGACGTAGTTCGTGCCTTTCTCGTCTGCAGGTGGTTGTTATTGATTGTGCTCAGCATGGCCGTGGTCATCCGCTTGCAGGGTCTCCCCATTGTGGCGGGGACCATGGATATCCGCCACTTCTTCTCTGGATTAACCATTCCTGATGGTGGTGTGCATATTGTAGGTGGTGAACTTGGTGAGGCTTTCATCGTTTTCTCCACAGATGAAGATGCACGGCTTGGTATGATGCGTGGTGGGGGTACAATTAAAGGATCCAAAGTATCACTCCTACTGAGTAGTAAAACTGAAA